TCTATCAATATATGGATTGTATGCAAAATGCTTTCATAAACTCTTTAATATACCTCCCTCCCAAAAAAATTAATACTTACAAGTTTGGTAATAGGATCTAATGCAATAATGCATCCTGGCCTGGCTGTTGATTGTTGACTGACGATGTCAAAGACTTCACCAACATATTTCTGTTTTTTTTAAAAAATTGATAATTTACTAAATAATTAAATTCATATGCAATTAAGAGTAAGTAACAAAATATCAGACATACCAGATAAATAATAATAAAATTCAAGTGGGCCCATAGTCCCTTTCAACTATAACAATTTTAGGTCTCTAGTCTTAATAGGAATTAACATACAAATGAAAAAGCACTACAGCTCAGTTGGTATGGAGATAAACAAAAGCAATGCCTGAAAACTGTTAAGGAAAAAAAATTATACATGTAAGTGTGAAAAACTGATTTCAATCTCCTGGAAATGTTCTAAGAATTAGGGCTTTTTAAGCATTAATTCTGAGTTAGGGAGGATACAGCTAAAGAAACAAGATTACATACTATTCAAATATGCTGATTTCTTGAGCCATTCATGTCCTGACTGCTTTAGTGAAGGTCACAATGCTTAATTCAGTGGTCGGTTTTCATATCTTTGTCATACTTTATCAGCAGTATTTGACATTGGTGATCATTCCTTTTCCCTCTTTGAAAAATTTTTTTCATTAGGCTTCCATTATATACCACATTCACCCTTTTATTTCCACCCTACTTTTAACAGAGTGTTCCAGCATTCAATCTTTCTGTTTTTTAACTTTCACTGTAGGTTTGGGAGTACATAAACAACTGTGTCATATAGGTAAACTCAAGGGCTCTGCTGTACAGATTATTTCATCACCCAGGTACTAAGCCTAGTACCCAATAATTTTTTCTGATCCTCTCCCTCCTCCCACCTTTCACCCTGAAGACGGCAGTGTCTGTTGTTCCCTTTGTGTTCATGAGTTCTCATCATTTAGCTCCCACTTATAAGTGAGAACATGCAGTATTTGGTTTTCTATTCCTGTGTTAGTTTGTTAAAGATAATGGCCTCCAGCTCCACCCATGTTCCTGCAAAATACATTTCATTACTTTTTATGGCTACACAGTATTCCATTGTGCATATATACCACGTTTTCTTAATCTAATATGTCACTAATGGGCATTTGGGTTGATTCCATGTTTTTGCTATTGTGAATAATGCTGCAATGAACATTTGCATGCATGTGCCTTTATCATAGAATGATTTATATTCCTCTGGTTATAAAGCCAGTAATGGGATTGCTGGGTTGAAAGGCAGTTCTTGTTTTTAGCTCCTTGAGGAAGCACAGTACTGCCTTCCACAATGGTTGAATTAATTTACACTCCAATCAATAGTGTATAAGTGCTCCCTTTTCACTGCAACCGCACCAGCATGTTATTTTTTTGACATTTTAATAACAGCCCTTCTGACTGGTTTAAGATGGTATTACATTGTGGTTTTGATTTGGATTTCTCTAATAATCAAGTGATACTAAGCTTTTTACCATGTTAGCTGGCCACATGTACGTCTTCTTTTGAAAAGTGCTCATGTCCTTTACCCACCTTCTAATGGAGTTGTGTTTCTCTTGTCAATTTGTTTAAGTTCCTTATAGATGCTGGATATTGACCTTTCTCAGATGCACAGTTTACAAATATTTTCTCCTATTCTGTAGGTTGTCTGTTTACTCTGTTATGATTGCTTTTGATGTCTTTGTGATGAAATCATTGCCCATTCCTATGCCCAGAATGGTATTGCCTAGGTTGTCTTCCACAGTTTTTAGAGGTTTGGGTTTTACATTTGAGTCTTTAATCCATCTTGAGTTGATTTCCATATATGATGTAAGGAAGGAATCCAGTTTCAATTTTCTGCATATGGATAGCCAATTCTGCCAGTACCATTTATTTAATAGGGAATCCTTTCCCCATTGCTTGTTTTTGTCAGGTTTGTCAAAGATCAGACAGTCGTAGGCGTGTGGTCTTATTTCTGGGTTGTCTACTGTATTCCATTGGTCAATGTGCCTGTTTTTGTACCAGTACAATGCAGTTTTGGTTACTGTATCCCTGTAGTATAGCTTGAAGTCAGGTAACATGATACCTCAAAGCTTTGTTCTTTTTGTTTAGGATTGCCTTTGCTACTCAGGCTCTTTTCTTTGGTTCCATTATGATTTTTTAAAAAAGGTTTCTCTAGTTCTGTGAAGAATGTTGTTGGTAGTTTGACAGGAACAGCATCGAGTCTGTAAATTCCTTTGAGCAGTATGGCCATCTTAATGATACTGATTCTTCCTATCTATCAACATAGGATGTTTTTCCCATGTGTTTGTGTCTTCTCTGATTTCTTTGAACAGTGTTTTGTAATTCTCATTATAGAGATCTTTCACCCCCTTGGTTAGCTGTATTCCTAGGTTTTTATTCTTTTTGTGGCAGTTGTGAATGGGACTACCTTCCTGAATTCGCTCTTGGTTTCGCTGTTGGTGGTGTACAGGAATGCTAGTGTTTTCTTTTATATTGATTTTTGTATTCTGAAACTTTACTGAAGTTGTTTATCAGATCTAGGAGCTTTTGGGCCGAGACACAGGGTTATCTAGATACAGAAACATGCCATGTTCAAACAGTGATAGTTTTACTTCCTCTCTGCCATTTCTTTCTCTTTCCTGATTGCTCTGGCCAGCACTTCCAATACTGTGTTGAGTAGGAATGGTGAGAGAGGGCATCCCTGTTTTGTGTCAGTTTTCAAGGGGAATGCTTCCAGCTTTCACCCATTTAGTATTATGTTGGCTGTGAGTTGGGCATAGATGACTCTTATTATTCTGAGGCATGTTCCTTCAATATCTAGTTTACTAAGAATTTTTAATATGAAGGAATGTTAAATTTTATCAAAAGCCTTTTCTGTATCTATTGAAATAATTATGTGGTTTTTGTCTTCAGTTCTTCATGTGATAAATCACACTTAATTTTCCTATATTGAACAAAACCTGCATCCCGGGAATTAAGCCTACTTGATCACTGTGGATTAGCTTTTTGATGTGCTGCTGAATTTGGTTTGCCAGTATTTTTTCAAGGATTTTCGCATTGATATTCATAAAGAATACTGGGCTAAAGTTTTCTTTTGTGTGTGTGTGTGTGTCTGCCAGATTTTGGTATCAGGATAATGCTGGCCTCAAATAATTAGTTGGGGAGGAGTCCCTCCTCCTCAATTTTTTGAAATAAGTTTCAGTAGGAGTGGTACCAGCTCTTTGTACATCTGGTAGAATTCAGCTATGAATCTCTCAGATCCTGGGCTTTCTTTTGTTGTTGCTGGTAGGGTATTTATTACTGATTCAATTTCAGAGATCCCATGGGTCTGTTCCAGGAATCAGTTTCTTCCTGGATCAGTCTTAGGAGGGGCTATGTGTCCAGGAATTTATCCATCTATTGTAGGTTTTATAGTCTGTGTGCATAGAGGTGTTCATAGTAGTTTCTGATTATTGTTTTTATTTCTTTAGTCAGTGGTAACATCCCCTTGGTAATTTCTAATTGGGTTTATTTGGATCTTCTCTCTATTTTATTAGCTTAACTAGCAACATATCTTACTAATTTTTTCAAAAAACCAACTCCTGGAATTGTTGATCTTTTGAATGGTATTCTGTGTCTTGATCTCCTTCACTTCATCTCTGATTTTGATTATTTCTCATCTTCTGCTAGGTTTGGGTTGATTTGTTTTTCCTTCTCTAATTCTTTCAGTTGTGATGTTAGGTTATTAATTTGAGATTTTTCTAATTTTTTGATGTAGACATTTTAGTACTATGAATTTCCCTCAACGCTGCCTTAGCTGTGTCCCAGAGATTCTGGCATGTTATATCTTTACTCTCATTACTTTCAAAGAACTTCTTAGTTTCTACCTTAATTTCACTATTTACCCAAAAGTCATTCAGGAGATGTTTTTAATTTCCATGTAATTGTATGATTGAAGCTATTTTTAAAATGTTAACTTCTATTTTGATTACTCTGTGGTCCAACAGAGTGTTTGGTAGGATTTGGTTCTTTTGCATTTGCTGAGGATTGTTTTATGTCCAATTCTGTGGTCCAATTTAGAGTATGTGCCACATGGCAATGAAAGGAATATACATTCTGTTGTTCTGGGTGGAGAGTTCTGTTGAGGTCTGTCAGATCCATTTGGTCCAATGCTGAGTTCAGGTCTTGAATATCTTTGTTAACTTTCTGCCTCGATGATCTGTCTAATACTGTCAGTGGAGTGCTGAAGTCTCCCATTATTATTGTGTGGGAGTCTATGTCTCTTTGTAGGTTTCTAAGAAGTTGCTTTATGAATCTGGGTGCTTCTGTATTGGTTGCATATATATTTACCATAGTTAGGTCTTCTTGTTGAATGACCCCTTTACCGTTGTGTAATGCCCTTCTTTGCCTTTTTTAAAATCTTCGTTGGTTTAGACTCTGCTTTGTCTGAAATCAGGATGGCAACCCTGCTTTTCTCTGATTTTCATTTACTTGGTAGATTTTTTCTCTATCCCTTCATTTTGAGCCTATGGGTATCATTACATGTGAGATGGGTCTCTTGAAGACCACATCCCATTGGGTCTTGCCTTTTTTTTAAATCCAGCTTGCCACCTATACCTTCTATGTGGGTCATTAAGCCTGTTAACATTCAAAGTTTGTACTGATATGTGTGGATTTTTATTGTTTTTAGCTGGTAATTATGCTAGTTTGTGTGGTTGCTTTATAGTGTAACTGGTCTGTGTATTTAAGTGTGTTTTTATATTAGGTGGTAGTGATCTTTCCATTCAATATTTAGTACTCCCTTCAAGACCACTTGTAAGGCAGGTCTGGTAGTAGCAAACTCCCTCAACATTTGTTTATCTAAAAAGGATCTTATTTCTTCTTAACTTAGGAAGCTTAGTTTGGCTGAATATGAAATTCTTGGTTGAAGACTTTTTTTATTTTAGGATGTTGAATATAGGTCCCCAGCCTCTTCTGGAGAAATACAGAACACTTCACAGATCTGCATGTCATCCTTGCACAGGAACCATGCTAATCTTCTCTGTATTATTCCAATTTTAGTCTATGTGCTGCTGAAGTGAGCACACATTCAATCTTTCTATCCCTTCTTAAGATGGTATCTTAAGAATTGGAGTGCAGTGCTGTGATCTTGGCTCACTGCAAACTCTGTCAATCAGGTTCAATTGATTCTCCTGCCTCATCCTCCCGAGTAGCTAGGACTACAGGTGCCTGCCACCACATCTGGCTAATTTTTGTATTTTTAGTAGATGAGGTTTCACCACATTGGCCAGGCTGGTCTCAAACTTCTGACCTCAAGCGATCTGCCTGCCTTGACCTCCAAAAGTGCTGGGATTACAGGTGTGAGCCACCACTCCTGGCCTATCATTTCTAACTATAGTCTCACCCTCAACGATCTTATCCACTTCCACAACCTTAAATTTTTATGCTGACAACCACTGTATATCTTCAGGCCAGACCTCCCACTGAATTCCAGATGCTAGCCTACTATGTATCTTGGACGTCAAACAGTCATTTCAAAATTAACATGGCCAAAGTCAGACTCTTGAATTTCCCTGCCCCTCAAAACTGGCTACTTCTACATTCTTCCACATCTCAATTCACAACAATTCTATTCTTCCTTATAGTCAATCATAAACCTTTGGAGTCCTCTTTTTTCTCACACACATACCATACCATATCCATATCTCACACACACATACCGTATCCACACCATTCCTAGCTATTCAATGTTCTATAACAACATCTACAATTTGGCCATTCTTATCATCTCTGCTGTTACCACTTGCTACATTCTAAGCCCCATTTTTCTCTCTCCTAGACTATTGGTTCCTAAATTGGTCTCTCTGGATCTACTTCTGAATCCCATGTATGATCTATATACCCACCAGGGGAATACATTTAAAACCTAAATCATTTCATACCTCTTCTATCGTTTCCATGTTATTCAGAGTAAAAGCTGAAGTTACAACAATGGCCTATGAGACTTCATATTACCTGACCAGGCTAACTTTTTTACTTTATCCCTGACTACTTTCTACCTCACATGCTCTGCTCCAGTCACAATGGCCTTCTTGTTGTTCCTTTACATACTGTTAGTCCATTTTCACACTACTATAAATAAATATCTGAGACTAGGTAATTTATAAATAAATTTTAACAGACTCACAGTTCTGCATGGCAGGGGAGCCCTCAGGAAACTTACAATCATGGCAGAAAGTGAAGAAGAAGTAAGCACCTTCTTCACAAGGTGGCAGGAAAGAAAGCATGCAGGGGAAACTGCCACTTTAAAAATCATCAGATCTTGTGAGAACTTGCTCACTATCATGCAAACAGCATGAAGGAAACTGCCCCCATGATCCAATCACCTCTCACCAGGTGCCTCCCTTGACATGTGCAGATTACAATTCAAGATGAGATTTGGGTAAGTACACAGCGATAAACCATATCAATCTACCCAGGCCCCTCCCAAATCCCCTTTTCACATTTCAAAACCAATCATGCCTTCCAAATAGTCCCCCAAAGTCTTAACTCCTTCCAGCAATAACCCCAAAGGCAAAGTCCAAAGTCTCATCTGAGACAAGGGAAGTCTCTTCTGCCTATGAGCCTGTAAAATCAAAAGCAAGTTGGTTACTTCCAAGATACAATGGGGGCACAGGCATTGGGTAAATGTTCTGTTCCAAATAAGAGAAATGGCTAGAATAAAGGAGCCACAGGCTCCATGCAAATCCAAAATTGGCCAAGCAGTCATTAAATCTTATGTCCCAAATCTCCTTTGACTCCATGTCTCACATCCAGAGCACACTGACACAAGTGTGGGTGGGTTCTCACGGACTTGGGAAGCTCTACTCCTATGCCTCTGCAGGGTACAGTACCTGTTGCTGCTTTCATGGGCTGGCATTGAGTGCCTATGGCTTTTCCAGGCAAATGGTACAAGCTGTCAGTGGCTCTACCTTTCTGGAGTCTGCAGGATGGTGGCCTTCTTCTTACAGTTCCATGAGGCAGTGGCCCAGTGGGGACTCTGTAGGAGGCTCCAACTCCACATTTTTCCTCTGCATTGCCCTAGTAAAGGTTCTCCATGAAGACTCCTCCCCTGCTGCAGACTTCTACCTGGACATCCAGGTGTTTCCATACATCCTCTGAAATCTAGGTGGTTGCTGCAAAGCCTCAACTCTCATCTTCTGCATTCCAGCAGGTCCAACACCACATGGAAGCTGCCAAGTCTTGGGGCTTGCACCCTCTGAAGCAACAGCCTGAGCTGTACCATAGACTCTTTGAGCCATGGCTAGAGCTGGAGCAGCTAGGAGGAAGGGTACTAAGTCCCAAGGCTGCACAGAGCAGCTGGGCCCTGGGTCTGGCCCATGAAACCATTTTCACTCCTAGGCCTCTGAGCCTGTGATGGGAGGTGCTGCCATGAAGATCTCTGACATGCCCTGGAGACATTTTCCCCATTGCCTTGGCTATTAACATTCAACTCCTGGTTACTTAAGCAAATTTCTGTAGCCAGCTTGAATTCTTCTCCAGAAATGGGTTTTTCTTTTCTACCACATAGTCAGGCTGTATATTTTCTAAACCTTTATGTTCTGCTTCCCTTTTAAACATAAATTAACTTAAATTTCAATTTCAAACCATGTCTTTGTGAACACATACAACTGAATGCATTCAGAATAAGCCAGGTAACCTCTTGAATGCTTTGCTGCTTAGAAATTTCTTCTGCCAAATAACATAAATCACCTCTCTCAAGTTCAAAGTTCCATAGATCTCTAGAGCAGGGACAAAATGCTGCCAGTCTCTTTGCTAAAACTTAACATGAGTGACCTTTGCTCCAGATCCCAATAAGTTCTTCATCTCCGTCTAAGACCACCTCAGCCTGGACTTCGTTTTCAATATCACTATCAGCATTTTGGTCAAAACTATTCAGCAAGTCTCTAGGAAGTTCCAAACTTTCCCACATCTTCCTGTCTTCTTCTGAGCCCTCCAAACTGCTCCAAGCTCTGCCTATTACCAGTTCCAACATCACTGCCACATTTTTGGGTTATCCTTATAGCAGTACCCCACTCCTGGTACCAATTATACTGTTTTCACACTCTATAAAGAAATACCTAAGACTGGGTAATTTATAAATAAAGTAAGTTTTATTGACTCACAGTTCTGCATGGTTCAGGAGGCCTCAGGACACTTTTAATCATGGCAGAAAGTCAAGGATAAGCAAGCACCTCTTCACAGGTGTTGGGGGAGAACACGCGCACAGGAGAAACTGCCACTTTTAAAACCATCAGATCTTGTGAGAACTCCCTCACTATCATGAGAACAGGATGGGAGAACTGCCCCCATGATCCAGTCACCTCCTACCCAGGTCCCTCCCTCAACACACGGGATTATAATTCGAGATGAGATTTGGGTGGGACACAGAGCTAAACCATACCACATACCAAACACGCTCTGGCCTCAGGATCTCTGGATTGGCTGTCCCTCTTTCCAAATTACTCTCCCTTTAATGAATATCTACATATCTAGCTCCCACATCTCCTTCAGATCTTTGTTCAAATGGTAACTTTTCTGTGAATTTTTTCCTGTATAGCAACTTACTTGGCAATCCCTAATTCTTCTGCAACTCTGTTTCTCTCCATAGTATTTTTAATTAATATATTTTTATGTTTTCTTCCTACCTCCCTTCACCAGAATATAAGCTCTATGATACAAAATGTTTACCTGTTTTCTTCACATCTAAATTCCCATTACTTAAAAATGCCTAATTGAAGACCCCCCCCTAAAAAATATATGCATTTCTACTGTAACACTATATACTTGTTTTGGAAAACCTCGTGTTCTGCAAAATTATGCACTAAAATTAGCTTACAAAAAAACAGGATTGGAACAGATCACTGACATTTATGCAACTCTGTAAGCAGAGAATTAACAAATACATTAATTGGTAGTCAGGGAGATGGCTTAAATCTCCTAAATATAAAGTTTGGTACAGCTGAAGGCTGCCTCTGGGGATACTAAAAGAAAAATCAACAAAACCTAATACTTGCCTGTTGAATGTTCCAAGACAATGTAGTTAGAAGGTTGCTATTAGATGGGTATGAGAAGAAATGTAGCTGTCATAAGGCAAAAGCCTTGCAATAGTACTCAAAGAACTCATTGGAAGCAAGCTAAGGGCTAAACTGGAAGCAAGCTAAGGGCTGTTTCCTTTCATGCTTAAGATTAAAATTCTATTCCTGTTGTCCCAGCTCCTCTTGACTATAAAATAATTGCAGATGGGCCAATATAACTTCTAGACTCTACTTTCAAAGAGTGAAAGAAATGGTTTCCTTTTAAAGGTGCTTAGAATCATTATAAGAGTACAATACAAATGTGAAAAAATAAAACAAAGATACAAATGCTTATTATAAATTCTAGGCCACAATTCTAGAACATGCCCAATAAATATAGATAAAGTATCTAAAAACATAATATTATATACTTAAGCTGTTTTAAAAGACATTACTTACAGAAATTTCAGGGTTAGAAAGCTCAGATAAAAGTTTCTTAGCATCAATAACTGCTTCATATAATCTCAGATATTGTCCATCACTGGCTACAAAGCATGCACTAGGAGAGTTGCAGTATGCACCTAGAAAGTATTTACAAATATTAAAATTTCACCCTTTTACGATAATGTCAGCAAATCTAAATTACTGAAATAAATGCCAGAATACTTACCAAGACAATAACTGGGTATAAGAGTGGGTAGCCATGCCACATTGGAAAAGGCAGAAACATGAAGAGAATTAATCCGGGCAAGCTCAGAAACTCCTCCCGAAAAAGACAATGGCCCAACTGGGTCAACCCTCCAAAGAATAAGCTCACTGTAAACTGCATTGGGATCCTGAAATGCCATGTCAACAGTGCTTTTATTTTGTTGTGTCAAAGAGCAGTCTTCAGTGTTTAAAGCATCAAAAGGTTGCTTTGGGTTATCAACATCCGGTGTCCTTAATGCATTATGGTGTGAAGTTGTTAGCAATAATGGTAACACTGAGTGGCAAGCTAAATCATTAAGATGAAAACGATGACCACAATAT